GTAAAAAATATCTTTTGACCTGATAAAGAGGGCATTCGTCACTATAGATCTAATGCAGAACCATGACTTTACTGCTACTGATTCATTATTTTTGTCATAACGCCGCATAACAGGATATGTTAAAGAAAAAAGTAATCAGAGATTAATGATTATCGTTTTGAGAAATGGTCAACAAATGGCTAACCATCATGGATTAGAATAAAAAGACGGGACTAGAGTGGTTCCCAGTCTCAACCATCAAAATGAGACGATATTAAAAAAATACATAATAATGAACATCTTTTTCACCAACATTATATATTCCAACGCATATATCTAAAAAAAAAAGACAATTATCGTGAATATTGGACATCATCGAGTGACGTCTTATATATCAATATCGATATTTCTTTGGTAGGACAGTTTTAAACATCTTATAACATGCTTGGGATTTTATAATGGTTAGCTTGTAGGCTGTTCCTAGGTTGAATGGTTTAAGGGTTGAAGAAACAATAATTAAGATATAGGATTAATGTAGGTTACGGTCATTACCATCTGAACAAGATAGGCCCTGCCATCCCGGTAAACATCCCTCATTCCTGCAATTTCCTGAACCAATGTCACATCCGGGTGGCGCACAGTGACATAACTCAGAACACTGATGACCGTATCTACCGTCTTCGCATGCTATGGACAAAAGCAGAAAAAAGCGTTAGTTGGGGTAACGCAAAACTTGTTTATTCATTCATTCCCCGCCATCCCAAACATGCATACAAGCAAGCACAAACATGCCGCACTATGGGATTCAAATTTTTGCCATGAGGTCCTCAGCAGTTGGTATAACTGAATTTCTTATTGGATCAATCTATTTTGCGGAAATATACCTTTAAATCTTGCTATCTGCTGGTCAAATTTAATCACGTTAAATCGGTTCAACTAACATAATTCGATATGTTTTAATAGATATTCTTAAAACTTCTATCCTTTTTCAATTGTGTACCTTCGAGCACATTGGCTGATAAGTTAAATGACATGCGAACATGTTGAATAAGGCTTCAGATACAAAACGCAAACAAAATCGAAACAAATCAAAATAAATAAGCCTGTAATATTTCCTATAACCGTGACCAATACAATTTATTCATGATTACAATTGTATTATGGAACTAAAAAGTGAAATAAATGAAAACAATACTTAGAAGAACAGGGTTGACATTTATATAAACATATATATATAGAGTATAGAAAAAATGTGATAAATATATTACAAAGCGTTTCCACCAACCCATATGAACGCATTCATTCTCTAAGCTTGATGGTCCAAATAGGTTATATATGCAAGATTTTGTTCATATAACTCCCAAATACTTAACATGTTTCTGTACTAGCTTACCGTAGTTGTAATTCAATACTTACTTTATTTAAGCAGTTCGTCAGGATAGATAATATATACTTCGAAAAAGCATCAAACTTTTGTTTCACGTCAAGTTTTGTAGTCTTAAACCAAGTGTAAAGCAGGTGGAATTTGAATTGGTGGTTAAATTCAGCGGTTTTGCTTAAATGTACAGCAGAAAATTTTCTTTGAGAAAGTAGTTTTGTATAAACGTAAAGCAATCAATTTTGTATTTGCGTAAATCATGCAGTATTGATTTAAAGTACAAATAAACAACAATAAATAACACTACTGATCCCCACCCCCCCCCATCCCCCCCCCTAAAAAAAACAAACAAACAAAACAAAAAACACTTTAAAATCTTACAATTGATGCAGTTTATCCAGGTGTCCTGCCCTTCTGGACATCGCTGGGATACCCATGTTCCGTTACAACGGGAAATATAACTCTCGTGTCCCTCACAACTTAAGTCCATGACAACTGACATACTAGATGATGTTCGATCAGGATTCGAGATCAGGACGCCACCATATCTTGAGAAAAGAATATCTTTAACTTTCCTTTACTTTAATGGCAATATATATTACTATGAACGCAAGCTTATTTACAAAGTTTTGAAACACACTTATACAATCATTTTGAACTTATCTATACTGACAAGCTTTTGAAAAATAATTGTTCCTTATTGTAAACAATCAAACTAAAAGATCGATTAAGACGTCCACAGTACAATACCTCCCTCCAATAAACAAGTAAAAATATAAAATCTGGTAAGTGGTATCGACGTCATGGTCCAATATTGGCTCTGGATCCTAACAAACAAATGTTCGTTGGATGCGTATGACTGGGATAGATATATGATCAATTAAGTAATAGTGGTGATTAAAATATCAAAAGTGTTTTACAGAAATCTAAGTATGTTTTGCACTCTAGATACTGAGCGCACATGTGATCGCAACGAAAACAATTGCACGTCACACTCCGAGGAAAGAAGTCTACCGGTACTCCTCGGCCACATTCTAATGAGGAATTGATTGATTAAAAATAACAAAATTTATAGTAAAAAATGTTAAATGTATGTGTAGTTACAATAAAAAGGAATTTGATAGAAAAGATACTAGTTAAATGCAAAAAATATGTCTACTGAAAGAATATAATTTTGAATATGGTCAAATAGTCACCAAAATCGTCAACACGCCCCATAAATTATATATATAAATGTGTGTGTGTGTGTGTGTGTGTGTGTGTGTGTGTGTGTGTGTGTGTTGTTGTGGTGGTGTGTGTTTGTATAACGCCTTTTATCAATTCTCATTGTTGCAACTTCTGAAATATTTTTGATGTCAGTCATGCTTGATTCTATCACCACGTCTTAAGAAAACAAAACACTCTAACATAACATTCCCCCTCAGAAAAAAAACACCTTCTCAAGAAAATCACCCCCAAGTCAAACTCGATAACGATACGCACGGAAAGACCTTTTATCGAGAAAAAACAAACATGAAACCTTTATACATACACATATCCAAGGAATCTACAGAGGGTGTCAGCGGTAGAGGGATCTTGAGATGCTTTACAAAGTGTTCCGAACGCATTACCATCATAGACTTTGATTCTGCCCGAATTTGCTTTCCCTTCAACGATGCCAATTTCCTTTCCTAAAAGTAAAAAATAATTTTCTTTTCTCATAAGAATGTCGAAAGAAAAAGAACATAAAATAAGATAATAATTATGATTTCAAAGAACAGATTGCTTATCAGAACATGATGCAGTAGTCCATTTAAAACAAAGAAACGCTTGTGAGATTTAGATGCATTATGTGCAGTTTAGCAAAATGATAAATAAAACTACATCATATTTGCATATCTCTTTCGTCTTTTAAAGATGCAGGAGGCTCCATAAAGCAGACGAAACAAATGTCAAAGTGTATTTGTGTAGGAGCGGTTCAATAATCTAATATATAAGGTACATTTTCGAATACTGATTGTTTGCTATATATGTACGAAGGTCAATTGCGTAGATTTGTTCCTACATGAGTAGTGACATTGTTCATAAAACCATTTAAAACAGAGTTACGGCAATATTTGTCTACCAGCAGCATTTAACCATATCAAAAGACCGATCATTTAATAGTATGTTTCATTTGTAATTAACTTACAAATATAACACACGTCAAATGCTGAATCAGGTTGTATCAGAAAAGAAATCAGTGTAATGTCGAAACCACAAGTCCATAGTGTAGAATATTAACCTTTAGCAACGATTCAATTACGCAACTTAAGACATTTTTGCAAATAATTGTGATTTTAAACAGTATTACTTCGTGAGCCACACCAAACACCGACATCTTCCTGATGGCTACAACTGTGAAGACCCCATCCATCAAAGGCGCATATCATATCTCCAAGTTTTAAAGGCTGTCTAGATCTATAGTGCCTTGCTGGACATTCAAGGTTGTCGACGTAAATTGATCCATTACTAGGGTCGAAGAATGAATACGGATGTCCGTTCCTTAAACATAATAACAAACTTCAAGTGCTTTCTGCCTAACGTCATTTTTTTCTTTCTACGTAATGTCTTTTTTATAGATATCAAAACACTAAGAAAACGCCGTCAGAGATTTTAATTATGGGAAAAACGATAATAAGAAACAAAGATTATGAATAAAAGAAAATATCAGTATATATAACTGAAAAATATTCGGTTCTATTTTCTTTTAACTTTTTGCTAAATTCTAATGTAAAGATTAAAATTTCTTTCACAGGAAAAAGATGCGGACTTACAATAAGTGTGATTTTCAATATGTCTCTTTTTCGCAATTCAGTTTCCAAACATAGAGAAAGTTGCACTCATTAAATATATATTTTGATTCAAAGAGGTCATTGATCACGATATTACAATTTACTTTGGGGTTTCAAGTTGTTACATGCTTATTCAATCTTCATGATTCGGTTATAATATATTACATATTGTAATGGAAAAATCACAATCACATCGTCTTTCAAGACAAGGATTGATTGAATAATTAACAACACTGACTATTCAGGGACGATGTATCATCATAAGACTATATCCTGCATTTCCTCTTTTGAAATTGTTGTCTATATCAGTTGATAGATATTCTTATCAAAGTACAATATTATTTGTTTGCTATATCATCAACAAGTCTGTGTATCAATGGCTACACCCTCCCTGCTTGAAAGAATACGTTGTCAAAGTGAACTATTATATTACAGACTGTGCTAGTAAGCACACTCCCAATTTTCAGCTGTAGGCTGACTTCAGGAAGAATTTTATGTTCATACTTCCTGGAAAATGAAACAATATAAAAATTGTGACAGCCCACTTAGTCATTTCCATAAATAGTTTATCGACATTTCCTAGTTACATGCATGTATATATTTTATCAATTGAGTGGTGGTTCCTACTCGGCGAAGAATCATTAGCTTCAATCACAAAACATAAAATAACGGGAATAATTCTGTTGTTTGTCTTTCATTACCTACCGTAAGTAAGATACTTGAACGATATGGAGTTTTTTTCTTAGTTTGTGTTCATTGATAGTGATAACAATTGATACTTTTGTTTCCACAATAACACGTTATTTCACGAACGATAAACACAGTGATATTAAACATACTTGTATCCGAGCATGTTACAAATAGTCCGTGCTTCTTCCACTCCAAAACCGTTATCACAAATTGTTCCCCATTCGCCATTTTGAAGAATCTCCACTCGTCCTCTGTTAAATGTTCTCCCACCTATCAGTTTTACAGCTGGGAACATGGAAGAAAAAACAAAATGCGACGTAAACTCTGCAGCTACCAAACATATGACATATAGTTGTCTTGCAAAGCTGGCAATTATAAATATTAAATTGTTAAATCGAGTTCAGTAATCTGATATTCAAAGATATGGCAATATACCATATTTTTTTTATTTTATTTTATTTTTTTTTTTTTAGTGAAGTTATATTGAATTTCCTATAATTTCGAAATCGCTGATTCCAATTCGTATTAAATTGCGATGTCCGTTTCATGAAATCAGTGTAGTTATTTTTAGTATTTATTTTTATAGGATGTCAATACCAAACCTATGCTTTAGAGTAACGCTACATATTTGCCTGTTTGAAGAACAAATTAATTGAACAATTCCAGCTACTTAACTCTCCACCGACACAAATGTATCATGTACCACACACGTGGAAAATACAAAGAAAATTAGCAAGGCCGGTATATATATGACACCTTAATATTTTCTGCCTTGAATGCGATATAATGTGGCATTTAATCCTTTAACGTTGACCGATGACAGACAACATTTTAGTATGATTGGAGCAAAAAAGTTGTGACACTTTTCATTTTTTACTGAATAAACTGAGCCGCCAATTCGAAATAACTCTTTCCCGCATGGATGTTTTAAAGTCCGAAATTTGATACCGTCTGACTCCATGTTATGAACAAAACAAACCATAACAGAAATTCTTATGAAAAAGTTTGCAGTGTTCTTTCGGTATACCGCAGCTTTTTTTATTTCTTATTTGTTCAAATATGGTTTTAGTTTATATATTCAGTACTGCAGACGCTTAATCAAATATTCGTGAAAGCGGTGAGATACAAATAGTCATCCATATGTAGGTATGTGTGATAATGGATATTCTACACTAAGGTATAGAGTTCCCAGATACCTACATAGGGTTGACTATATCAATATTCTATTTCATTTCCAGTCTTAAATGAAAGAAAATGATGACGCACTGTTTTCCACGCATTTCACTCCAATATCTTCACTGTGTCTACAATTTCCCACACCCCAGCCTATAAAGCTGCAGTTCCATATCTTTTCTGGTATGTACCCAAGGGAACAGTTAACATCATCCATTAAGATACGTCCTTTCCCATTTCCATAAGTCCCACTTCCGTTATAATATAACTGGTTCCTAATTAAAAAAAAAAAACAACAACGTATGACATCATTACCTCGAAGTGTTTAATAATATTTCTGACCGTTATCCATAAACTTAACATCTTTATTTGTTGCATCTAGAACGCGACATTGCTTATATGGACTGAACAAGATTTGAAAGTGGTTGTCGTCCATGCCACCTCGTCTTATTCTACTTTACTTTTTAACTTGAGTCGCAATGTAATTTTATTTTACGAATTTTGCTTTTGGATATCAATTTGGGTTCGTCCGGCCGTCCGTCCGTCTGTCTGTCTGTCTGTCTGTCTGTCTGTCACACTTTCGTTTGTTCTAACTTCCCTAAATATCATCCAAGTTGTGTGAAACTGCCAGCAAATGCATCTTGGGGTCATTAAGACTGCGTTTGACTATCAGTGTCGTCTGTTAATAATTATGCATACTAATGAGGTATCCTTTGATTTCATTGGTCGGTTCATTTCCGTGCTCCAACGTCCCTAAATATAATCCGATTTAGATGAAACTTGGTCAGCAGATGCATATTAGGGTACATAAGACTGAGTTCAGCAATCAGCATCATCTGTTAATATCTATGCATACTAATTAGGTATCATTTCATTTCTTGGTCGGTCAGTTTTTGTTCTCTAACTTTCCTAAATATAATCTGATTTAGATGTAACTTGAAGTCCCACAAATATTATCCAGTCCCCTATACTGATCATATTATGTGGACTACTATACCTGCTGAAGACCATGGATCTGCTTGGCACTCTTATAGTTACTAGTATGCAAGTTTTCTTCAATTAGTTCACTTTATTGGTTAATATTTGATATGTCCAATATCAAAATCTACTTTATATAGTCCTTTACATCTTTTTTTGGCAATACATAATAGCTCAAGAGAATATATCATTCTACATATCACTATGACATGTTTACTCCTAACCCCTAAAATGTTTCGAAAGCGGGGAATAGAAATTCCATGAATTTGCTTGTTACATTTGAGTTTGGATTACTGTCATGTTGACATATTGGCATTTTCTATTTTATTTATCTATTTATTTATATATTTTCTTTATTTATTTGTTTTGTTTTTTTATATATATTTTCCGATTGCCTGATTTTCGAAAGGTTCACATCCTCACAAAGATCAGTTATGTAGTAACAGAATCCTATAATGTAATCTATATGTTTGAATTACAAAATTTGTTACTTGTAAACGAAGAAAATTATGAAATAGCAGGTATTCTCCATTTAACATTCTATTTATCCATTAGATATGCCAGGTAAACAATAGTAATGAAAATACAAACAAAGGAAGACATAACGGTTTGTCTAAATAGAAAAATATTTGGTATTTTAGCTTTACATTATTGTATGTATTCGTTGTATCGGAAGATAATGTTAACTGTGTGAGTGCTGGGTAAAAAATTATCATATAATCATAATTTTCAAATTTAATGATCTTACTGATACTAGAATGTGTCGGATAGCCATGACAGTATGTAAATCAATGACTTAATTTATACTGAAAGGTGTTATTAACAGAGTGGAATCCCGTCTTGAAAGATGAAATCAATTGACAGAGTGAGTCACATTGTTACGTCATACAACTACTACTTTACCTGTATCCAAGCTGACGACAAACAACCCTCGAAGCATCAGTATTCCAGCCATCGTCACATATTGTGCCCCAGGACTCGCCATGATAGACCTCCACTCGCCCGTTGTTATCACTTGTTCCATTTGTAAGACGAATATCTAATGTAAAAGACACAAGGTATTGAAATGTATTTATCTAAATATGTAAATGAATGAAAATAACATAACATCTTAGTATTTCCTGTTGTTTTTTTCTTCATTGTATACTTGGCATAATCGATTATGCTATATGGAATGATTTGTCATTGGAATTATAAAACAGACCTGCAAAGAATACTTAAATATTCGCATTTCACCAACGTTAAGCTACTATTTTTATGATCTCCCTGAATATATATTGGAGCTATTTTGTTACCTACCCAGGAAATTACACGAAACTCCAGCGTCTTCACCGTGATTACAGTTATGAATTCCCCAGCCGTCATGTGTACACTCCGATATGTCACGTAGTATACTGTGTAGGGAACAATTGACATTATCTAGCCATATTTGCCCACTCCCTTTGCCAAAACGTGCGTTCTTGAATGCCTTCCCGCCTTTCCTTCAAAAGAAAAAAAGATAAGAAAAAAATCTTTAAACTTACAAAAGTACAATATATCAAGAAAATCTGAAGCAACGTAAATTAAAATTCTTTATTTAGGAATCATTATTTAATGTTCGTTATTTATAGACTATTATCGAAGTACGTCTGTTATTTTTTTGTAATTCATATTCAAACGGGAGCAATACCGTCTCTCAAATACATAATGATCCATCAGTAATTGCACTAAACATCGTGCATTTTACACAAGACAATATAAAACACATTTATACATCAAAATGAGACTGAGAAAGAAAAACTTTTTGCTGTTACCTGCATACCACGTTTTATTTCATTCAAATAGTAGTTAATTTTAGTTCAAAATTATCTGATATATGATGAACACGAAATTTATTTAATTATTGGTCGGCAGCGCCTCCCTGTCTAGATTTGAACTTTTCCTTGGATTTTCTTCAGTCGCCTACATGGCATCAAAATCTAGGCCCTTAGCACCACTGACGAGTCCTAGAAGGATGAAACAGCTGTAGGATGCAGTTTTATTCAATGTTCGGTTTTATTTTTCTAACTCTAAATTATTAAAATGTGCTATTCACTTGTGTCTCTTTTGTAAAATAATCTTTACTTCATCGGTATAACATTGGTAAATCCTTTGCATGCAAGGAAGGCAATTGTGTGTCTGGGACTGTTGCTACTTGTGCATATTTTCCATTACATCGCAATGAACATGAAGTAAAGCTCAAGTTTAAACAAATATTTTAACTGATAAAGTTCTGATGTGGGTACCTATTAAAGTGTACCCTGAGAGTAATTTTATATTTAGATATAATGTTAAGAATGCCGTAAAAATAATAATAATGAAAACCCCGTCAAAATCCGTCGCCCCAGTGTCGAGTTATTAAAGCTCAAAGTTGTCGATTTTCACCTGTCAGCCCAGACCTAATCAGCCGAATCGTCATTTCCGCGGAATCGAGGCTCTTCTACTCGTGACGTCATAAGTTCAACAGAAATGGCAGTCAAAATGACTGACAGTGACAACGACACCGCAACTGAGAGCGATTTGAGTATGAGTTTTGAGGAGTCTGATTATGGTGTGAATGATATGTCTGAAGACGGAATTCAGCCCTACCGATTTGAACTGGAATTACAAGACGATGTATCCAGTGAGGAGGAAAATGACCCTTCGAAAAGTGACGATCGCTTGGGCAACATAGATTGGCACGTACTTCACTGGGTCTCACCAGTAGTCGTGAAAGTAGTCGAACAGTGAATCGTCGTTTCAAGGAAACAAAATAAAATTGGGTGTGGTTTTGGACTATTTTTACTATCTTCAAGTCTCGATCAACAATTTATGACGTCGGGAAATCGCGTTTGTGCAAGACTATGCATACATTCACGAGGTGTCGGGAATTTTCTTACCGAAGAAGTTTCGTCCGAGGGGAATTTTTCTTTCCATAGCATTATGGATATATATAGATAGGGTGTCAACAACCAATTATAACACCCTCCGCTGTGTTAATAATAAAAATTTGATGTTTTAGAAGTTTAAACAATTATTTGACTGGTTTTTACCCTAGCACTGGTACGCGTCTGGTGTTAGCCGACAGGCGTGTCGCCTCACAGGTGTCACAATTGTTTTTTCCAGCCACAGAGTTGCCAATTACCTAACCTGGCACAGGTGTGATTATGAGTTTAGATGACATCTCTACACTGTGAACTGTGTTTTCAAATCAAGATTGGTGATCTTATTGTTATTTTTACGACCGGTCACAACCAAAATGGCGGCGACCATCCATTTCACGACACAGCGGTGAGTAAAATAAGTGTTTTGTCTGCTTACAGAGAACGTTCCTTATCACATCAATATTGCGTTTCGGATCTAGAGGAATTTATCTTTATATTCGTGCAACGAATTCACAATATAACCCAGTCCTGTAAAAATAAATGTGAAAAAAACCTCAGTGTTTTGACAGTCAAAACTGGTATCGAGATCGGTTTTCCTACTTATTTGACTAATATATTACATATCAAACATTTGTATGGTGTAACGGTTTAGGTTGGACCCCTTGATTCACGACTAGGCCTTCTCCGAGTATTAGGCGTTCACGATTACGAAGGAATAATATTCCCATGACCGCCCAAGTCATAGGCTAGCCTATCAATTAAAATGTTTAGTTGTAGAATTAATAACAAAATATCAACCTAACAAATATACTTTTATTTAATCAACAATCAGTTTTATTTATCGACGTCATGCATCGACACCCCATCCGTGTTAGTGTTAGGACAACCATACACACCGCTTCCCTTCTCGATAGGAAGCCATTTTAGCGGATTTAAGCGCTAATTCACCGACCCCTCGTTCACTACCTTAGATATTGCGAAGATGTGAAGTACTTTCACGTAAATAAACAAAGAAATTACCACGGAAAATCCCAAAATAGATCACAATCACATGTAGCACAGTAAAGACAATATGGCTGCATCAACAAAAGCGTTGAACTTATGACGTCACAGGTTTGGGTGCCCGAAAACGAGGTCAACGCCTCTCAGCCAAAGGTGTGTTTTTCAGAAAAGTCGCAATTTCTCAGTAACGGAACATTCCACGGCATTCGCGTTTTCGGCATAGTGTATTTTATGTGCAGAACTGTTTTCAAGGTCAACATAGCTGACCTCTCAGGGTACACTTTAAGACAGTTCTGATATAAATAATTGTGTTTTTGAATATATATGATTACTTCACCTATAATTTGACAAGATTATCACGTCAAGATAACCTTGTTCGAAATACCATTACCAATACATGGGAGGCCCGTCGCATGCTATTCATATCAACCAGAGTTAAATATCTTACCAAAGGGACACAACCAGGTCAACAAAGACCGGTTGTTCTCTCCGATCGGTATGGTGTCATAGAGCACGTTGCCTATCGTAATTAGTATTAAGTACTCGTTGTAACTAATTATGAGTTGAGAATTCTGTGACGCATTACTTTTGTTAATTAATTTGGAAAACGTCTATTCTGATATTCAACACAAATCGAATGATAACAAAATTAAATTGAAACATTTCCGAATTAAAACATTTGGGTCAATGTAAACGATTTGTGAGATGAAAGGAACGTTTTACCATAGCTTTCCTTAAGTCATACGAATATTGAAATATGAAGATTAAAGGCTTTGCTATTTATGAAAATGCCCATATAGCAACGTGCTTGTAATAAAGAAAATTACTAATGGAATTATTCCCAATTTTTCAATGACGATTTTATCAGAATAATAAAGTAAAAATAATGCGCATGCGTATCATACCGAAAACCCAACATTCGACATATCACTTCTGCGTCATCGTTGTCAAAGAAATCGTCACAGACTGTACCCCATGTACCATTGTAGTAAATCTCTACTCTTCCTTGATATGAAGTGCTGTCGGTACCACGAAGACGCACTCTGGTACCTAAACAAATCAGGATATTATCTGAACAAGACAAATATATCACTTTTGAATGCTGTTGAGACAACAACATTGTTTGATTAAGTATAAATGAAATTTTAAAACTTGAAACAGAATGGAGCCCATTTTGAAACATGTCGATAAATAAACATATGTTTCGCGGTCTCTAGTGTATTTTTGTGACTTTGTGTATAATAGTGTAATTAAGAGAAAAAACATCAGATATACAGATTTTAACCCAGTGTACTCGACCGTCGTGTCTTTCTTAACAAAGTAAGCTTAACTGCCTAATGTTTTCATCCAATTTGTATAGACTATGGAATTATAATATACATGATTTTATATTGAACAGTCTTTCAAAGAAACATTTAGATAAAAAAATGATTGTGGTGATTGTAAATGTTTGTTTTACAGATATTTATATACTTACCAGATGACAATATGATGAACGGAAGTAACACGAGAAGACACTTCATATTCTGTATGGCCTCCTTATAGGCTGTATTCTAATACACTAAGCCGAAGTGCTGCAAATGTTTTTCAACATTCAGACGGCGAATTTCTCATTTTGTGAAAAAAAATCTGTTTTGAAATATCTTGTCGTATTATAACCACAAGAAGCACGTATATTATCTGAATTACATCAAGGACAATTAGATAAAAAAAATAATGACAAATTATAGATAGATACTTCATGCAACTGACGTATAACACAAAATCTGAAACACTGGTTGATATAACACAAAACTATAGTTTGCCGAAAATTGAGTGAGGCTTGCTTTAGAGAAAGAAAGAATGATTTGAAAACAAATAAGGTATGAAAACGTTTCCCAGATGTTACCACGATAGGATACATGAAAACAAAACCCGAATTCCTGGAATAAGACATGTGATCTAATTTCAGTCAAATCAGAAATCAGTGAAATTAAATAGTATATAAAATTTCAATTTTTCACTAATTGTATATAAAATATACTCATAGTGTATAACGAACATATACATTAAAATATCCTTTAAATATGCAATACACATATAGACATATCTAAATCATTATATAGAACATTATTATCTACAATATATATTTTTGGGGTATGTTTTTGCTGATGATATCGTGTTGTTAACATACACCAGATTTGCTTTCTGCACTTTGGCCCTTATAAGAATATTGTGTATATCGTGGCAAGTCATTTTTATTATTATTATTTTAATCACATTATTTGAGATTTGCCCAAACGTCATCTTCGGCTGTTATATCGACTATAGATATTCTCAGAGTATACTTCGTTATTTTTTCTATATTTACAGCAACAGTTAAACCACACAACGGCCGTCAAGAACATTTTGACACCGCAATGCAACTGGACAGGATAGTATTTTAGTTCCCCATTCTCTCCCTATGAAATGAGAGGTTGATAGACAAATGTGAATTTATTTGCAAGTGAATTCATCTTGTCATAAGTACATAATTTTCTTACCTTGATTTAAATTCAATTTTAAAATGATTTATAGTTTTGTCTTTTTATTTCTTGTTGGTATCAGTATATAGTTTATTTCAAAAAGCCTAACAATTTCCTTGGGATATTACATGGAAAAGCGTGATGATCATAGTGGAAAAAATACATGTACTTACATTTTTAGTAGAAGTGTTAACATCAATTTTGTTGGTAAGACCAAACAGAGGATACACATCAGAAATGTAAATATGAAAAAACTAATAAACATGACAAACACTGATGGCATTAACAATTATCAAAAGATTACAACATACCTTATATTTTAAAGGAAACCAAACGCATGAGCCTTTTTTCAATCAATATTGATGAAGAGTTCAGTCACTGTCACAGTACCCATGTCATGTTCGTGTTTCATTGCACTGACAACACAAGTCGCTATGCACTGGGTAAAGTCCTGCGTCAACAAGTGAGTGATACAGACACAAGCACCTTGAAGTGGTCAAAATTCTTCCTGGGACATTACTAGGAAATTGGCTTTTACATAAACAATGTGTAATCTTTTCGGAGAATTTCTTTTTACAAAAATAGTACATTGTACATACTTCATAAATCAATGATAAATAAATAAAACGTAAGATTCAACTTCTCAATGATCTCCATGATTTTATTTTTTTCTATATTTTGCCCTCATTTCATCAATATTGAATTAAAATAGTCTTTTCTTAATCTTTTCAATGGCCTCCGTGTACATTTTTGTCTATATTTTGCCCTCATTTTATCAAAATTAAATTAGAATTCAGATTCTGATTTCATGTCGATAACTTTTTTCGTTGTTTTAGTTATCTTTAATTGAATTCAACAAAATCATATTTTTAAGACCGAAGTGCATTGTTAAGCTTATGCTGGAATTATTTTATCATATAAATGATACCCAAAACTGAGGGGGTAAGTTAAAATCAACCTGTTGTATTCAAACCATGACTGATATCTTGTTACATCTTTTACTGATGTTGACAGATACAAAACGATGAATCTGTCAAACTGTAATGCTATCAGTGATACATTATGTAATTAATGAGTTACATCTAACTTTAAAAAACGGAAAGAACTTTCCTGAATGGAGGTTTTCAAAAGCATAAATCGATGAAGATTTTTCAGCCGAATACATGATTGCTTCAGTTGAAAAATAATATTTGGATTTCATGTTTTTTAACATACATGTATCTAGATTTTTATTATTTTTTAAACATTGTTTTTTAGCACTGGCATAGTTACTGATAAGTTCCTTGTATGTAGGTAGTGTGTATATTTACCTTTTATTTGGTGCATAACATTACAGAAATATTCACAGCAGAATTAACAAGTTTTATGTGCCGGTTGACAAATCCGAGGTCCACGGTCATATATAAAATACTACAAATTTTGGGGACTGGAAAAATAATGGCAAGGCAAGCAACTCCAATATCATGAAGGGATTTTAAAAAATGGCGACCAAAAAAAAAAAATAGAAAAAAAATCATGCAGATAATGAAAAAAGGGCGCTTGGAAAATATATTAACTGGGAAATTAAAAAAAGTAGTTATGATAAGTTCCTTGTAAAACAATATGTATCCGTAGGTAGTGTGTATATTTACCTTTTATTTGGTGCATAACACATTATATTCAAGGTCATGGATAAACCCTTAAATAACATCTTCTGATAACCAAAAAGAAATTCACAAAACATACGTACCTGTAGCAATACAAGCCCTTTGGGCCTCTTGGTTAATAAGTAATATGTATTTCTTTTCAAATATTCTCAATAACTTGACAAAAATCACTATGGAAAAAATCATTTAATTTCCAATTTCTAAGTTAATATATTTCCCCCACGATATTTTTCATAAATTGCGCCCTTTTTCATTATCTGCATGATTTTTTTTCTATTTTTTTTTTTTGAAAAAAAATTCTCATTACCGCCAGCTTGATTGAAAGTTGATGCATTCTGTATAATCCCTTACCATGATATTGTATCCGAGTTGGCAAATGTGGACTTTCTTTGCCCAGCCATTATTTTTCCATCCCCGCAAATGTATTTGTAGAAATAAAAATATATATTTTGAAGTTACGCGCGTAATGACATCGGAACCTTTCTTACCTGTTCACTGGTATAGTGCTATCCGGAACTCCTCTCCCAAAAAGTCGGAGTGACCGCCCTTGAAATGGCATGTTACTTCCGTCAAAGATAATTACATGGACGATAAAATCTCCGGTTATTGAGATGTTAATCTCATGTACGTATTGTGAATTTCTCGTTGCCTGTAATGTTATGCACCAAATAAAAGGTAAATATACACACTACCTACGGATACATATTGTTTTACAAGGAACTTATCATAACTACTTTTTTTGAGCCAGTTTCCAAGCGAGGGGTCGATTTTTTAAAATCTGGAGTTGCTTGCCTTGTGTATTTTTAATGACCGTGGACCTCGGATTTGTCAACCGGCACATAAACTTGAATTCTGCTGATATTTCGTTTAAATAACGTCAGTTATGAGTGCTAAAACAAAAATCAATGTTTAAAAAATAATATTCTGGCCTCGAGTGCCTGTGAACGTGAATATAATTTTTCAATAAAAGAATTAATAGGATGTAGCAGAGCCAAACAAAGTGTTCAACTGCATAATATAACTGTCCTTCGATGTTTTGTCAGTGATGCTGAGGGCCTATATTTTGAAGCCTAGGAGGCGAATAAGGAAAGTCCAAAATGATTAAAAGAAATGTCAAAATAAAAAAAAGCTTTGACCCAGTGTATTAGTTCATCATGGCGTCTTGACTGAAGTAAATTAACTGAATAATTTCATACCGGATTTTTAGAGTGTATAATTTTATGTTAAGTAAAACACTGATAACCTCTTGAGTATAGGTATGTGTTTATTTACTCTAATTAGTATAACATATATATACTTAAGAGGTTGTTGTAACAGTATATATTGATTAATGGCAATTCACGTTCCCAGTCAAGAGACTCGGATATCTGTATGACCTGGTTGTAAAACGAGTGATCAGGATTTTGCAAAACAAATCAAACTTCTTTGCCATGCTCTCGCAAAATGATGTGATCGTATTCGAACGGATGTACGCCCTTAACCGTACCAATGCTGTGATGGCCTGTGTCCTTGTTTTTTCAGACGTAGATCATGTGTACACCAGAAGATTGTATCTGATATTATAACAACAATGAGGTACAGAAGGGGAGCAAACATATATTTCTATAATCAACTTAATTATCATGACTTTGTTGTCATGTTGGTATTTCCATGATTTATTTTATACCGGGATAGCATATAAATACATATTACACAAAAAGGTTTTTCTCATATAGAAGTTACACCACTTTGGTGACACGAAATTTTAGCTGAAAATATCAATATGTTATTTAACATTTACTAGTTTTGCGTATTTTACAACTATTACAGTATTGGAGATTTGTATGCCAACTTCAAAATATACGCGCTCTTTTATTTTTCGTTATCCTTGAAAACTGCATACAAAACTCCAGTTCAATCAAACTAAGGACACGAAAGATGTAAAATCATAGTCTTAATAGTAACTTAGTCATATAGACTTTCTTCATTCTTTCAAAATATTTACTTGAACTGCAACTTAAGTTCAGTAGTGAATGGCATAGTACCGGACAATACTACTTTGTACCTGACTTCTAACTGCTATACACGACGTTACTGCGTTGTACCTGACTTCTAACTGCTATAAATGACGGAACTGTGTTGTATCTGCCTTCTAACTGCTACACACGACGTTACTACGCTGTACCTGACTTCTAACTACGATACATGACGTTACTGCGTTGTATCTGACTTGTAATTGCTATACACGACAGTACTACGTTGTACCTGACTTCTAACTGCTATACACGACAGTACTACGTTATACCCGACCTCTAACTGCTATACACGACAGTACTACGTTGTACCTGACTTCTAACTGCTATACACGACAATACTACGTTGTACCTGACTTCAAAC